CTTGTTTTTAGGGGTTCAAATTGGGGTGGGTGGGACATAGTCTTGTGGGGGTGGGGGGTTGCACTTCAACTCGCCTAGGGCACCAAAATGGCTAGAGCCAGCACTGCAACCATCTCCTCTCACCTCTTTGCTCAGTGGTGAAAATGTGCATTGACTGAATTAAAACGGGAGTCCTGAGGCACTGATTAGTCACAGAGCAATCTCATTAAACAAGTAAAGAAACCACAAAATCCCTATTCTGAATTTTTTTTAATTCCCATCAGCCACTCTCATTGACAAGCCAAGTCTTCCAAACTCTCCCAAACATGTTCACAGTAATCATTTTTCACATATTTCTTCAATACAGAAACGTATAAAAATACAATTTTATTTGTTATAATTGTAATTTAACTTTTCTCAGTGTTGCAAGACATGCTACCTCCCCTGCGACACTTTAAGCCTAAACTCTCAACAGCAAAATGTCACCTGAGCCACATGCACAAGATTAAAAGATTAGACAAACATATTAGAATAATAATCCCCAATGACTCATTTCAGAGGCTGCATTATTACAGTTTCTAGTCAACATTTTTGACTCTTCCATCCCACTGTATGCTTTCCTACGACAGGGCTTTATCAGTGGCAGCTGAGAGGCAGCACCATCATCAAAACACCATCGGTGCAATTTATCTGTATAGTGAGGGCAATAAAAACAGTCTCATGTGAGAAATGCAGTTTATTTTTCCTTTTTAATCCAATCAAATCCAAAAACGTGACACTTAAAATCAGAATTAAATTTTCCTGAAACATAATCAAACTATTGTAGGGGACACCTCGAGTGAAGAAACAAGATTTACTGCCTCGAAGCAGGCCTCCGACAGGCCTGACGAGAGGACAGGAACTCTGTCACAAACTGAACTCTATTTAGGCCATGACAGGTCATCCCAACCTAGAAGAGAACTCCTCAGTTCTCTTAATCAGATAATGGACAGAACAATCTCTTCTGTTTGTGATTCATTTGTTATTTAACTAAGAATGTTTATGCATTTGTTAAATCATGATAATGACTGTCACAAGAAAAGTGGAACCACTTCTTTTCTTTTATCGTGCTTAAAGATTAATAATGGTATAAAAAAGATCACAGAGAATCTCATTACAATGTTCTCATTGTGTTTTTATGTGAATCACTGTTTTTATTTTACTGTGAACACAGTAATATAATTGTGGATTTTTCTTGATAAAATCTTTCATTTATCTGGACTAACAGAAGGTTCAGAATTGATTATAAGACAGAAATGTTAATTAATCATCATAAATGTTTTGCAGTGATTTCTCTCAGAGTCTATCAGAAGAAAGCTGAAAAAAGGTTATCATGCTGTTGTGAACAGCCATAGAATTTTAACCTTGGGCTGGCACCCTGGCAAATCTTTTATCTTTCTTTCTATGACTCATCTCTAAGCTGAGGGCGGAACCAAAGATCATCCGTTTCTTTTACTAACCCGGACGGCTTTGAGCAACACACTCTTCTTCCTGACTCCAAACTAGAAAGAAAGCTGAGTTCTCTCTCCAGAGGAACTCAGTTTGGCTCTTAAGTCATAGCCCATGAGCTAACTAGAGAAGACTTGACAGCCGGGACTCGGCACGCCAGCCGGTCCCACCCCTGAGGCTTTAAGCCTCTTAAGCGTGTTTTCACCTCCCGTGGGGAGATTTTATTTTGGAAAGATGGGACCGGATGTACAGCTTGAATTTTTCTGGCTTGGACTGAAACAGACGAAAAGTTACCTGAAAAACACCCACATTGCCAATGACCGGTAAGCGAGCCGATAATCAGTTCCCTGGCTGATCGGAGGTGAGACAGTTCCTACCAAGAGGGTGTCTTAAGAAGACATCACCAGGTAAAGCTGACGTGTTCGGGGTGACGTGTCATGTGGACCCGAGCGCAGAAAAGACGGCTGATCTGGTTGAACCACACTTTGATAAAGCAAAAGCAGTAGAAACCTACTAATCTTACTTTCCTCCTTTTCTTGTCTTTATTTGCCAAAACTTAAGCTGAAAGTGTCAGTAAAATTGTTTGGTTGTTAACATCAGAAGTGACGTTTTACTGTTCTATATAAGTAATCTGAGTTGATGTGAAGTGATATTCGGAGGCGAATTTTCATCTCATTTAACTTTGACACTTTTTATAGGAATACCCACAATTAAGTGTACTTATTATTTGTTCAATTTGTGTAAATAAATGATTGCATAGTCTTTTATGAATCAACTTGAACTCGTCTGAACGTTCACTTATTGTGTCACTTTTCACTTCGCACAGTCAAGATATTAACAAGTAATGAGAAATACCTTGATAAAAGTTTCTTCATAAACTTTGGTATGAGAGATGTAGGAGCAGCTTAATACCACCTTAAGCCCCCCTCCTACACTATTGTTATCCTACAGCTAAAATTCAGACTCGCCTTCAACTATAAAAGGCCTGCACTCAGGCATGTTGCAGACGTTTTGCTAACAAACAAGGAAAAGTGACATCCACTCAGTAACTGTGCAGCTGGATTTCATCAGTGGCTCTAAAGAGGTAAATATTGGTAATGGCTTTCTTGGCATGCTGCAGTGTCTTCGCATGCACCATCTATCTCTGTCTGAGAATAAAAAGTTGCATAAAAGTGAGGAATAAAAGAGATGTGTTTTTCTTCTTCGCGTTGCATATTTTTAGGCGATAATGTATTAGAAGCCTTGAGAACAAGGACAAACTCTAAAGTGCTGTCATTACTCTGCCTCCTGCTTGAAGAAAGAGCTGGCACATTCAGACATTCAGCCCAATCAATCAAGTATTTTGCTGTATATTGTGTTTAGTCTTATGTAGCGCACTGCACAGTAAGACGCCTTGCTTTTCACACAAAAAAATGTAAAAAGTCTCCCACAAACTGGCAGATAAACACAAACACAACTGTCACTGTTTGCAGATTTCACTTCTTTTCTGAGCAGACTTTTGGCACAAGAACGATACACTTTAAAAATAACCCAGAGCAGAATTAAAACAAAGACACAAGAAAAAGGTCTGCACCAAAAGAATATGCAGGGAATTCATATCACAGAAGCAGCATGGATGTTTATGTCCTTTTCAAGTCCAATTAGCTTCTCTAGTGAAAACAAATGCATCAGTCCTGTTACTATAAAGACAGCAATTATATCTCCAGAACAAATGAGTCATGCTTCATTTTTAGACCAACTTCAGAATCAGCACTTTATGATCATTTTATTTACCACACACAACAGAAACAAAGACTAGCAACTTTGGCGAGTTTCTAAAATGTAAAGTCAGTAGTTGAAAACTACTTTATG